CATGAAATGTTCTCTATATTGCAGTGCTGTTTTTTCATGTCACAATGGTCAGATATGTTGTTGCATGACATTGTCTCTGTATGACAGTGTCAGTGTTATTTTTTTGACAGTATAAATATTGGTTTGTTGTTCCATTAAATGTTCTCTATATAAGAATCTTAAAGGGATAGTTCACCCAAAAATGAAAATTCTGTCATTAATTACTCACCCTCGTGTCGTTCCAAATCCGTAAGACCCCCGTTCATCTTCGGAACACAAATTAAGATATTTTTGATGAATTCTGAGAGCTCTCTGACCCTCCCATAGACAGCAATGTAATTACCACGATCAAGGTGCAGATACGTAGCAAGGAGATCGGTAAAATAATCCATGTGACATCAGGGGTTCAACCGTAATATTACGAAGCTACGAGAATACATTTTGTACGCAAAGAAAAAAAATAACAACTTTATTAAAAAATTTGTTTGCTCCACGTCACCCTGGTGCCATTTTGGAGAATATCCACTGAACGTAAACAGCATATGCTATTCTGTGTCAGCTACGTCACGCACATACATTGTTTTCGTTCAAATCAAAGCGTAAACGACGTAGACATCGTATCCGCGTGACGCAGCTGACACAGAATAGCATACTCTGTTTACGTTCAGTGGATATTCTCCAAAATGGCACCAGGGTGACGTGGAGCAAACAAATTTTTTAATAAAGTTGTTATTTTTTTTCTTTGCGTACAAAATGTATTCTCGTAGCTTCGTAATATTACGGTTGAACCCCTGATGTCACATGGATTATTTTACCGATCTCCTTGCTACGTATCTGTACCTTGATCATGGTAATTACATTTCTGTCTATGGGAGGGTCAGAGAGCTCTCAGAATTCATCAAAAATATCTTGGTGTGTTCTGAAGATGAACTGAGGTATTACGGATTTGGAACGACATGAGGATGAGTAATTAATGACAGAATTTTCATTTTTGGGTGAACTAACCCTTTAATGTGTTCTTTCTCGTATGCCACAATGTTCAGATTTGACCGGGAACAGCAAAAGTGTTACTTTTTGCCCCTTTACAGAAAATAAAAGCATTTCAAAATAAAGGTCCTTTTTTGTGATCTTTCCCATTCACTCTGAATGGCCAGTCATTTTTGACCGGGAACACCACAAGTGTGACTTTGTGCCATTTTGTACAAAATAAAAGCCTTTTAAAACAAACTCCCTGATTAAACATTAAAGTACACTAGTGTGATAAACAGTGCACATTTTCTCCACAATTTATTTAATATTGTGAAAATTATTCATAAATAATCTTTTTTTCACTCAAAAAATGAGGTGCCTACTCTCAGATAAATGAGGCCTACGATTAATCAGATGCAAATATAAATACAAAACCAGTCCTAAATGAAAGAAAAGAAGTTGACAAAAAGATTGAATCCAATATTTGGTGATAATA